ATACGAGTATTGTTGCACCCCTAATATATATATACATAGATAGATAGATAGATAGCATTAGGTATACAGTGAGTTACCATGCACAAATCTACGTTTTTGAGCCATACTATAAAAATTGCATTAAACCTAAGTGGTACCTCTTGAGCTTTAAAGTCAGGCCAATGCAAAAAGTTGTAATGTGAGTAAAAAGAATTTCGGGATACTGATAAAGCTTGTACTTATTTGATTAACTGATGTGCTGGTACATGCAGCTTTAGCTCCTAGACCTCACATCTACTAATTTAAGCAACTGAATTGGACCTTAAATACAGTCTATGCTTAAATCTCCTTTTTTAATGGTCAGTAGGGGCAGTTCTCATGGTTGCAAAATATCTTGTTGTATGACTGTAGTAGAAAATGACCCTTTGCTTTTGATTTACGATGTCTGCAGACACTTTCCTGATGACTTTATGGTCTGGTGTGCTAGTCTCAAGGCCAATTTAACGCTGTGTCATTTTATAAATTATGGTTTAATTCAAGAGGAAATATGTAATAGTGTCTTTTAACTAGTTGACTGACAAAGGGCTTACCTTCAAAATTCACTGCTGAGCATCAACCTATCGTTTATATACGATCTAGCAATAAATCTCGAGTCAGTCCCACTTACACCACCACCAACAACGTTTGATCATACACAGCTTGTAATATTCGACAGCCAACATATTATTAATATTATTAACATATAGTAGCAGTTTCCCACAGCCTGTGTCACATAATTAATTCCACATAAAAACTTCTGAATGAATGTACAGTTTGTAAAAGAGAGAAGCCGTACATTTAATCTCATTTATTTAATTAAAAAAACAAAAACACTATACTTGACAACCTCTTGTAAAAATACACTAAAGATAGAAGGGTGTGTTCAGTGTACATGTAAAACAAAGGAAGTTGGTGATCAGTTCACAGTAAGAATTTGGTTGCATCACAGTGTTGTGAGTCTTCACTTGTGGTGGAGCAGATCATGTCCTCACACGCTCCTCAGACACGGTGCCCAGAGTGAGGAGGGCAGGTAAGATTTGGGATCTGGGGATTCGACTGAATTTAGTAAGCTTGTAATTATCTTCATCCTCCTACACTTAATTGCCTGCAGTTCCTTCAGGGGTTTGCAACTTGTGACTTTGGACAGAAAGGAAGAAAAAGCACTTAAGCAGAGGGTTCATGATGTGTAAACTGAACAAACAGAGCGGAGAGTTGAACACCAACTTACCTGTAATTACTACTCTTGTAATTATTCTGCCAGGAGACACTGAGAAATTAAAAAAACAAACAAACAAAAAAACCCCATGTGCTTGCAATAACCATTCAAAATAATAATAATGGATTGGATTTATATAGCGCTTTTCAAGGCACCCAAAGCGCTTTACAATGCCACTATTCATTCACTCTCACATTCACACACTGGTGGAGGCAAGCTATGGTTGTAGCCACAGCTGCCCTGGGGCAGACTGACAGAAGCGAGGCTGCCATATCGCGCCATCGGCCCCTCTGGCCCACACCAGTAGGCAGTAGGGTAAAGTGTCTTGCCCAACGACACAACGACCAGGACAGAGAGCCCGGGGAACGAACCGGCGACCTTCCGGTTACAGATATGCTTCCCAACCCCCTGAGCCACGGTCGCCCATAAAATCTGTGTTTTTGAGAGACAGTTGGCTCTCTGTCACATTTCCACAGTAGGCAGAAACATAAAAACTTAAAATTATGGAAATGTTTTATAGATGTGCAATAATCCGTGAGCTTTATAGTCCTCTAGTGGCATCTACCTGAAATTACAAGAACAGAGGTGCATTCTAGTCTATTAATAAACCCAGTTTTTAAGCAGCATTTTTGATCAACATGGTGTAAGGATCAAAACATAAATTGTATGTAAATATTGTAGGTATTAATGCCAATATGGGACAAAAACAAACATGAGGTTTTGCATATATATATAACATGACCTGTAATCCTGTAACCCATGCAGCAACGTAATTCCTAAATTGCCAAAAGGCATTTCATTTTTTTCTGGTAATGGAAATTACCAAACTGTCCTATAATAATCAGAGTGGAAGATAGATCACATTGTCCTATGCACGACCACACACTTCTGAGCGTATTCATAAAAACTGTGTGTGTAGTCTGTGTTGTGGTTTCAGATGATTTTTGCATGATTTTTGTATTTTAGTGATTACATGTTACAGTTTTTATTCAATCGATTTGGCACAATTCTCCCAGCAGAAAGGTCGTTCCCACCACTCAGAACAGTTAGGGCATTTTTCATAACACGGACGCACCTGTGCAAAATACACTCCAACAATCAAAAACATTTTCACATTTGTCAGAACACGAATAATCAGCCAATCACGTCAGCTCTAATGAATGAATTAAAACGTTTCAGAAACAAAAATGAAATGTAAAGTGTTTTTTTTTTTTATTTTACAAAACTGATGAAATGAAGAAAAGCAGAATAATACTCGTAAGATTAAAGCATCAGAAAAAAATACAGTCTGAGAACATAGGACCAATTACTGTTTAGTCCAGTGAAGTCACGCTATACATTCAGCAACCACTTTATTAGGTACGTCTGTTTCACTGCTCATCACAGTAACCCAAATATCTAATCAGCCTTTCACATCAGCAGCAACTCAAATCATTTAGACATGGAGACATGGTCAGGGCAGCCTGTTAAGTTTGAACAAGTTCAAGATGACTGAACGTGGCATGGTTCTTGATGTCAGATGGGCTGGTGTGAGTATTTCAGACATTGTTGATGTACTGGGATTTTCCAGCATGGTCATCTTCAGGGCTTACAGCTGATAAGAAGGTAACAGTAACTCAAATAACCACTAGTTACAAACAAGCTATGCAGAAGAGCATCTCTGAAAGCAAAACACATCCAACCTTGAAGCAGATGGACTACATGTGGCAGCTAAGAACAGGGAACTGAGGCTACATTTTGCAGTCTCATCAAAATTAGACAACAGAAGATCGAAAAACGCGGTACTCAGATGACGTCGAGTCACCAGATCTCAGTGCAGCAGAGCATCCTTGGGATGAAATTTGGATAAGCAGCTGTGACACAAGACTGAAGGTATGTATTTCTATTTGTTGCTTGTAAACCACTGAGAGTGTGTTACTGTATTTGGTCTTTCAGAAATATTTGAAAAAAGTTTGAAGTCATTTGGTTGAAAACGTTAATGCAATGCTGGGTAATTGAGACTCAATGTTAATAATCGATATAAAGACTCAAAAGGGGTTTTGTGTTTTTCAGAGCAGAAAAACGAATTAATACATTTTTGTTCTTTAGACAGACTATATTTTAGTATCCAGTCCCTAAATATTTTTGTGTGCCTTTGTTGAAATTAAACTCTACAAGTGAATGAAAGAAATATATATTAAATTTAGATGTGCCAAAATTCTCTGTGTATTACAACATCCTCACCGGTGGCTACACAAACAAAAAAAACTTGAGCATCTATTTCTTTAATGTTTTTATAATTAAATATTTTTTTCTGACTTCTCACGTGAAGTGTGTGACTCTTTTTATATGTAAAAAAAATATAAAAGGTATTCTTCAGTTCACAAAAACAATCGGAAATCCCTTACAGAGTGTAGTAGGAACGTGGCTCCAATAGTATGAATCAGATGTAAAAATCAGATGTTATCTTCAGTGTTTTCTGGCTGTACAGTGTTTGTTTGAAGTGTAAATGCATCTTATTCCTAAACTGCATAATATGTTTTTTTCTTTCTTTCTTTTGGAACTCCTGATTTTCTGAAAGGGAGGGTTTGTAGACTATCTGGCAACTCTTTTCCGTAATCTCGTGAGTATGTTGTGTGCT